TCTTCAAACATCGTCTTCTTGACCTTGAGCTCCTCAGCCCCAAGATACAATGGTCTGACAACTTGCATCGACCCAGTTCCGAGTTTGACACTCTGACCCATAATGATACACTCACTAACACCATCGATAGTATCCGTCTTACCCCTCGCGGCTGCCTCGAACAGATGATCCGGCGTCTTCTCAAACGATGCAAGCTGCAAGACGGAATCACGCGTCTTCTGCAGACCGAAACGCGTGATACCAAAGACTTCACCCTTGAACGTCATGACATCGGCCAAAAGCTGCATATGACGAGGATCAATGTCCATGTTACCCATGACGTCGCCGATTTCACGCACGATGGTTGCGCGGGCAGCTTCGATGCCGAGGACGGTTTTGACTTCCATGACGTGATTGGACTTTGTGCTGTAAGGTTCTATACCTGGGGTGGTCATACAGTCGCTGAGACCGTAGCCTTCTACGAGGAGTTGACATTCGTATTGACCTTGGGCGTTGGGGCTGCTTTCCTTTTTGATGATGGCTCGGGAGCAGTCTGGGTAGCCCTTGATGACGACGTCGGGGATAAGTGCCTTTACTTGTTGGACGCGTTCGAAGAATTCTTTGTGGTTGCGTGTTGTCTTTGTAGGACGCTTCTTGGCCGCGTTGGGGTCGGGGACTTCGACGCGAATTATTGATGAGGATATGCGGACTTGGGCGCCAGCTTTACCCCATTTGAGGGGTTTGTGGGCGTTGATCGCCGCGGCGATCTCGTGGGGCTGGACGTCGACGAAAAGCTGGTTGATGGTATCCCAGTCGATGCGCATAGCAATGTACGCGCCGGTAGGATGCCAGACATCTTCAACATACGAAATGACGTCGCGAAGGTAGGTCTTTTCGACACGCGCTTTGACGATTCGCGCCGCAGATTCAGAGACCTTGTTCGAAAGGTCGCAGGCGATGACAGGTGTTGAGATGGTGGAGGAGGCGTTGATAATTTCCTTGATACGGGGCACACCTTGAGTGATGGACATACCGGCGACACCAGCAAAATGGAAAGTCTTCAGCGTCATTTGCGTTCCGGGTTCACCGATAGACTGAGCACCAATAGCCCCGACAGCGTGACCGGGCTGTACTCGTGATCGATGGTATTTAGTTAGACAGAGTGTTATGAAGGCGTCCAGTGCGCTATGTGAAATCTTTGCAATACCATCGGCAAGACTGTACTTCTCCGCATCAGCTGCTGACTGTTTCCTATCCTTTCTGCCATCCGGTTGTACCACCCCGAGGTAAGCAAGGGTAGTCTCAAGCTTCTTTGCCTTCTTGAAAACGTAGTCTTGAACCGTATCGAGGAAGTCACGCATAGACTCCTTCTGGTCGATGCCAGCGTCGGTCCTGTCGCGATACTCCAGCGGCGTCACACCGTCTAGCTTGTACCTTGGGTACTTGTTTCGTTCGGTGTTCAGCCTTGCTTCTGTGTACTCCTTGACTTCTTCAGGCGTCAATCCCGATTCAGAGTTATCCCAGGTCGATGTGACGGCATGTGAGAATGTCCTGTCAAAGTGCACAGGTTTGGCCTTGCCCTCCATGTCCACGGGATCGAGGTTGTCGTCTCCATACTGGAACTGGACTACAGTTCCAGACGAGTTCCGGACAGTGTCATCGTATTGTGCAGAAAGATCTTCCAGTGACTTCATCAATCGTCTACTCATGTAACCAGTCTCGGCGGTCTTGACAGCTGTATCGACCAGACCTTCACGACCACTCATAGCGTGAAAGATGAATTCGGATGGTGTCAGTCCCGAGAAGAAACTGTTACTAACGAAACCCTTGGACGCAGGCTGACGAGCGGCTTTGGGAAAGTGGGGTAGCGTTCGATGGTGGAATCCATCAGCGACACGAGCACCGCCAATCATTTGTTGTCCGACGGAAGCAACCATTTGAGAAACGTTAATGTTGGATCCCTTGGAACCACACTTGGCCATGAGCAAGGGCGAGTTCCATCTGCTGAGCTCTTCGAAACAAATGTCACCAGCCGCTTGACGAACACCGGACAAGATACCACCTATCCTGTTCTCCATTGTCTGCTCTTCATCGCAACCGGGATCGCGCTGCAACTTTCCCTCCTTGAAATCCTTGATCAACTTGTCGCACTTGGCGTAGGCTTCTTCGACAAGGTCTTGCTTCTTCTTGTTAAGCTTTTCTCCAGGAGTAACGTCGGAAATACCAAGAGAGAAGCCGTTGTTGGAAAGCCATCGGGCGGATAACTTGGACAATCTGTTCATGCCTTGGACGGCGTGGTCGGGGCCAAAATCTCGCATCATGACGTAAAAGACGGAATCTTTCTTACCATCACCAACAGTGGCCTTGTCCATGACACCGCACATGACTTCGGAATTGCGAATAACAAGATAAGCATCGTTCTCGTTCAGATCAGGAGCCTGGTCAGGGGTGTTCTTGAACTGCTTGCATGCAGCTTCAAGGTTGATCAGCACTCTACAGCCCTTGTATGGCTTCATCAAAAGGTTGAAGACCTGCTTTCCAGTCCAAAGTGCTTGAGGCTTCCATACCACAGGAGGCGGAATGTCGATAGGGTGCTTCTTTCCTGTATCTGGATCAAAAGCTCCTTCTCCGTTGAACATGTAATTTACGATCTGACAGAATGTCCGTCGATCGTAGAAGTTGTTCTTGTTACTTAGAAGGTATGCTGCAGTAATGAAATCTTGGATAGCTGCGATAATTGGTGTTCCGTTCTTTGGGGTTGCAAGGTTGTACTTGACGCCCATGAGCTCTGTAGCTTCAGTTCGCGCCTCCTCGGTCTGTGGTACGTGCAAGTTCATCTCGTCACCGTCGAAATCGGCATTGTACGGATTGCAAACACACTCGTTCAATCGGAATGTCCTCCATGGTCGTACTTTCGCTCGATGACTCAGAATACTAAGCTTGTGTAGAGACGGTTGTCGATTGAAGAGGACAATGTCGCCATCCTCGATATGGCGCTCGACGATGTCGCCGATCTTGAGTCGCTTCGAGGCGCCCTCTAGTCGCTCACCGGTTGTGTCGAATCGCGAAAGACCGATAAGTGACGTCTTGCTAGGCTCCTTGTTCGGCCCTTGATCGCTAATGATGTAGTTGGCACCGGGATATCTGTTTGACCCGTTCTTCACAAGTCTCCTTAGCTTGTCGATGTTGTATCGTGTGGCCTTTTCGGGGTACGTGAGGTTCTTCGCAATGCGCTCTGGGACAGCGACTTCGTCAATGCTCAAATTTGGATCGGGACCAATGACAGTACGTCCAGAAAAGTCGACACGCTTTCCGGAAAGATTTTGTCGAAAACGACCGCCCTTTCCCTTCAGGCGCTGAGAGAAACCGCGCATAGTCTTCTGCAAGCCTTGCTGTTTCAGACCAGGCGCGTCGCTGTTGATGTACATGGCTATCTGCAGCTGCAGGAAATCCCACTGCTCCATTAAGATCTGAAGTGGAAAGCCTCGCGCAAGACCGGCGCGTATTATACTGCTAATCTGGCAGATGTCTCCAATCTTGTTCGTCACATCGTCCTCGGTGGCGCCACCTTCCTGCATGACTGACGGGCGCAGCGCCACGGGCGGTACAGGCATGTACTCCCAGATCAACATCTCAGGTCGCGCATCCTCGGGTATCATGGCTAGCAGCTCGCAGTCCTCCGGGGAGATCTTTTTGAAAAGATTGAGCGTCCTCAGCGGATGCATATCGTCTACGGCCTTCTTCAGGTGTTTGTCTAGGTCTGGGTTGGCGGATTTGGCGGCATCGAAGGACTGGTCAAACTCGATCTTGCCTGCCGGTGGCTTCTTCGTCTTAGCCGTGGATCGGTTGAAGGCATCGTATCGGTTGTGGATGATCTTGAGCGGATGGCCGGGTACTTTTCTGACGGTACCCTGCAAGGCGCCGCAGTACGGGCATGTCTTCTTCTTCCTGCAGTCGTCGAGGATCTTCTTGGTGACGGCGCCCTTTCGCAGCGTGTCCATGTCTGGCCGGCGCATGCTGCGCAAGTATCTCCGTCGCTCCACTTCATCCAGCAGTACGCGCGAGCAATCTTTGCATATACAGTTCAGCACCTCGATGATGTGCTTCAGGTATCCGACGTGGAATGCAGGCAGCGCAAGCTTGATGTGGCCAAAGTGACCGTTGCACTTGTCCAGGCCTTCTCCGCACGTTCCGCACTTTCCCTGCTTGCTCGATATGCCCATGTGCGTGTCCATGGGCCCGTTAGCCGTGAGGGAGCGCGTGCCGTCGGCGGCGGGCTGGAGGTCGTAGACATTGCGGTCGGAGACTTCGAGGACGGCCTGGTTCACGATGTCCTGGTTGGAGCTGGAGAGTGTTACTATGCGTCTTTCAGTAGAGTTGGCACAGTGGTGTCCTACTAAATGCCGAACTGGATGTGCTTGATGCGCGCGGGGATGCGGTCCACGACCTGCTGCTTGGCCGAGGTGCGCGGCGCCTCCATGATGGCGGGGGTAGGTATGGTAGGTTAGAGGGGCGAAGTTGATGCTACCGGGAGTCTTCACAGTCGTTGTCTTGTCGCATAGTCGTCGTGTCGTGAGTCATGTTCGGGGGCGACAGAAGCCAGAAGCAGCAGCAGCAGCAACTTTCTCAGTCGCGCCTCTGCAGAATTTGGGTGGGGAAAACTTCCCGGCGCTAAGCCGCACTAATGCGGGCTGATAAGCTGATAGTACCCCGGAAGGCAGTCGTGACCACGAGCATCACCGCCCGGTCGCTGCCTCACCCCTACAACTCACTCTCTGCCCCGCCTATAGCGACGGTAGATCTTGCTGTGTCTTGCTGTGACGCCTCTCTATTACCGCTGTCCTCGCCCCTTGCAGGCAAGCACCACAATCATTATATACATAACACTGGCCGCTGCTGCCTCTTGAACCACGGTACTACCTGCGCAGCCATCCCCGCTCAACTCCACCCCGCCCTCACTTGTTGTCCCTCCCAGACCAGGCTGTCTACGCGTCACCGTCTGGCAAGACACACTGCCCCTCATGACTTCCAGTGAGCCTCCTCCTCCTCCACTATCTGCCATGTTTCGCTCCCGGCTCACTGACCTGCCAGTCTTCCGCATCGTCCTCAGGGACACAAAGCGCTACGACACGTACGGGTCCCGTGAGTTTGATCTGCCACTCAACGCAGAGTTCCCTATTGGTCGGGCCTCGAGCAACATCTCCAAGAAAGACCTCATGGCCGCGCCTCACAATGCCTACATCGACAGCCCTGTCATCTCCCGCCAGCACGCCGTCCTGTCCGCCAACTCAACCAGCGGCGTTCCCGAAGTCTATCTTACTGACAAGGGCTCCATGCACGGCACCACCGTGAACAACCAAAGGCTGCCTGCCAACAAGCCAACCAAGTTGAAGGCTGGCGATGTGCTTCAGTTCGGGACTGACGTTAACCGCAATGAGGGTACGTCCTCTCGTAGGCCCTCCACACAGCCCCTTGTCCAAGCTTCTGAGCTGACACTACCTTGCACAGAGTTCTTTGTAGCCCGCACCTACACCTTCGAGTCACAGCTTTCACGTCCATTCTCTCTCGGCTTCACTGTCCCTGACCCTGAGAGTGACGACGAGGAAGTCGCCGAGCGTCGAGGCAGCCAGATCGATCCCTTCGTCATCGACGACTCCGATGGTGCTGAAGATCAGTCTGAGCAGGATGACCAGGAGGTCACGATGATGATGGAGCAGGTCCTCCACCAATCTGAACCCGGCCACTCCTTCAGTCCTGCCCAAGAAGAGTACCCTGAGTCTGCGATGCGTACTACAGTTGTGGACCAAGACTACAACGAAGAGGACAGACAAGATGCGGGTCTAGCCTGCGACTTCACCCCACGCCGCGATGATTCGCTTGTGCCTGCCAGCCCTAACGCATCCAGTGATAGGGAAGACGACGACGCTATTGGTACCGACTCCGACAGCCAGGCCGGAAGCATTGGTAGCTCAGAGATGATGTCTGACTCGGAACCAGAGATTGGGGATTCCGAGGATGAAGATATGGACGGGGCTGACCATAACAATCCCGCCGCATCTTCTTCCAACAAGGAGAACGAGCCTTCTGGCAATGCCGCAATCCCTTCCACGGCTCAGTGCTCTATGCAAAACCCTTCTACTCTTTCACTCCGGGATGTCTATATGTTAGACGACGTAGCCAACGGTCAAGCCCCGCTGCCACGTATCCACATGTTTGGCATGCAGGGTTCTGACAACAACTCCATGTCCAACAGCAACGTGTATGCAGAGAGCGCACCTCCACCTCTTCCACCACGTCCTTCGACTTCCAGAGTAGCACCTTGGTGCAACCCATCCTATTCCGCATTCTCATCGCAGAGCGATCTCCAGGATTGGTACTCTGCTGAGGACATGTCGCAGCCGAATTACCTAGGTACAAACTTTGGCGACAGACCTTCTCTGTTCAGTCCAGCGCCTCCTCCTCCAATGCCAGAGTCCTCTGAGACTCGTCTTCCTATGTACCACTTCGGTAACTGCGCTAGCCAGGCAGTCCAAGCCAACAGACTTCAGACACCTCCACCCATGCCTATATCAGATGTCGAGACCTCCACACCACTGCAGCCAGGTCGTCGGACCAAGGTCTCCATTGAGGAGATAGTTGAGGAGCAGCCGCCCACGCCTGAATCTGTAAACAACATGAAGCGCAAAGCTGACGTGCTCGAGGCAGAGGAGCCTGCAGTAGCCTTGGATGAGACACCTGAAGTCACCATTGGTACCGAGAGTGCACACTCAGAACCGATAGTCGCTGTTCCAGCCGCCGATGTCAATGCCATCCAGACAGCTGCAAACATCGCCCAACGTCCTAAGAAGACCCCTCGCTCTGTTCTCAGCAAGGTGCTCAACAAGGCTACCTACCCTCTGCTGGGCGCCACCGGTGCGGTCGTTTCTTTCGCTCTTCTTTCTACTCTTCCTGATACCTTCTTTGTCTAGGCTGTGACGGGCACAATGCCCATGACAGTCCAGCATCTTCCTTCAAGGCGTACAGGGTGGGATCAGGCGTACATGGTGAGGCGATATTAGGATCATGATATCAGTGGAGCATGTACTGATTACGGCGGTCAATACTGGTGGCGTTTCGAGTAACGCCAGAAGAGTCGGATTCTGCGCGCTATGGGTGGTATATGGTTCCGGTTCGGGCGGCGTCCTGACGTTTCGGCTTTATGACACGCCACCATGAATAGCTACATTTCCTTTTGTCATGATAATGAGATATATGCCACGAAAGACACAATTCATGTAAACTGAGCGTGGCTTTCAAGTGATGCGGACGTTTTCCGTAGGTTCGTGTGTTATCTGTCACATAGCTGGCTGTGGAAATTTACCAAAAACGCTTACCCTCAAGCGGTAAGGCGCGAGAAGCTTGACAACGACCTAGTCTCCATATAACTCTCAATCACAAGAACAACAACAATTTGGAAGATACAAGCTGCTCCAAAAATTGATCAAGACCCTTTCTCACTTCGTATAGTTTATCTGAAATGCTGAGACGCTCCCAGGACTACATTGATCGTTACCGAGTAATCCCAGCTTCATCTATCATGGCCTACACTAGCGGCCTTGCTCAACTGTACAGCATCTTCGTCGTCTTTCTCAGGCCGCAGCAGTACGCCCATCACCCTGCGCCTTATCTCTGTTGAGATGAACGTCCATAGTGGCTTGTATATGGGTACACTAGCACACAAGATAGCGGTACATAGGTGAATCGTCGTCCAGAGTTCTGCTCGATGGAAGTAGACTGTAAGTTATCAGTAAAGCGCCATCATCCGCGAGTTTTGGTATACGTACTCTCACGAGGATCTACAAGTTCCATCCTTAGAGCACTGGTAACAATAACGAATCCCCCTAGTGCGAATATGGATGCGACGCCAATCTTTGCTCGTAGTGGCATTTGGAGAGTGAACGCTGTTCGAATGGGCAAAAGGAGAATGGCTACATCCGTAAGCACATCTACGAGGAGGACAGAAAATACCATCGCTACCCAATTCCCGCATTTTGCTCCATCATGCTGTTCTTCTGGTAACCAAACGAGCTTGAGCGGCCGGCAGATGCGTAGTAGGGCCACGATGGCAGATATCAACCAGGTCGATGTGAAGGCCATGAGGCCTAGCGATACATCTCGATGGAAATCGCTAGCGAAAAAGATGTGGCGATAGAAGAGGAGGATCGATATCTTGCATGTATACTGAGCAGTCATGGCAAGCGTGATCGCTGCAAACATAGCCTTCAGTACAATCAGCAGACGTCGGATACAGATGCGAGAGCGATACTAACCTTGCGATATACCGTCGAAGGCACGAGATATTCTTCCTTTGCTGTGACCTCTATGTCGTCTACATGGGATTGCCTGAAATTGGTAAAGAGCTCTACGACAATTAGTAGACATCCGTCATCTGCGAGCCAAGAGATTTGCCTTGTAAGACGGTTGCAATGGCGCCGTAGTAAAACAACAGTGTCAGGAGGATGAACATGTCATCCGCTCTGATGCCTTGTTTTGTCTTCATCTTGACGCATATGCGGGTGGTGACTGCGACGACTGCGATTACCCCGCTGACGAGATGGGCCATAAAGAGTTCGGCGTGGTGGGAACTTAGACCGAACATGACGGCGATGAAATTTCAAAAATGGTGGCGTCTGTAGTGACAAAGCTCTGAGACCAATTCTAAGGCGATCCAAAAAGGGTAGCAGTGGCGCAAAGGATGCGGCATATATGCAATCAGCGGAATGTAAAGAGAAAGTAACCCAAGTGTAAATCTCCCAGCCCACCCAAGTGGTGTGACGGGTAGAGTTAGGTTGAGAAGCAGCGAAAGAAGCCGCTTCTGATAAGTCTGTTATAGAAAGAATTTCTCAAGCTGAGAATGATCCAACGCGTACGAAGGGTGCAACTATCAGGGCGCGCCTTCCAAGTGACCGTCTTTTCGTTTGTTAGTGAAGATAGAAAATTTCTGCAATCTCATCCCTGTCACATTCACCTTCTATTCCTCACATTCACTATCCGCTTGTTATTGGCTCTATAGAATGTTGGCTGTGGTATAGATGCGACTTGTGTTGTAGTCCAAAGCATAGAGATTGCAGAGCAAGGCTGACCGGGTGGCGCCATGCATTACCTAGATACATTTATCGTCAGTAACAATGTACTTGTAAGTGGCTCGTCTCATCAGTTGGTCATCGTGAACAGGAGGAATCCAATGACTTAGTAGAATCTTGCAGCTACATATATATGTCGTGTTACTGCGATTGGGAACACCTTTTGTATAAGACATGGTACAGTTTGCGAAAGCTGTGACTTGATTGCTGCAGTAGCTGTAAGTGTTGTGCTTCATAACCAGCAGTTGAGTCTCAAGAGCAACAAGAACGGCAGCACGCTGTTTATATACCTACGATGCGTCACAAAGACTGATGTGCTTTATGTGATGCAATGCTTATAAGTGGCCTGGTAGAAATCTCCTCTTATTCGCCTCTGCCCAACCCTTATCGTGTGCAACTACCACCTCAACCTGCACTTGTCCATCACCTTCCTCTTTCACATTGCCCTGCTTCAAGAACCTTGCGATCTTTTCGACAGTAGCTGCTGCCGCATCGGTGTCAGCGTGTACACTTCTCAGGCCACCCTTTCCGTCGTCATAGAGCGCGATACCCTTCTCGCCACTCAAGATCCTTGGGTCATGACAGCAATCGCCGCCGAGGTACACCCACTCCTTTGGTCCAATGCGAGCGAGAACATTGATGTGTCCGAAAAGGTGGCCTGGCGCATCGATGATGTATAGTGATCCGTCTACATAGAAGTCTATCGTAGCAGGGAAGCCTGCCAAAGGTTTCCACTCGAGTTCTGCCAGTTGGTTCTTGAACGCTCGTGGCCCTTCTTCCTTACGGACTGGAGGCAGCTCGCTCGTTCGATCATCTGGCAACTCATCGGGATTAAATATCTCAGCTGGATAAAGAGGCCCACCACCATTCGCAAGAAGATGCATAGTTCCACTTCCGACGACAAATTGCGCTTTCGTAAAATCGCTGGGCGTGCCAACGTGATCCCAATGCACATGACTCAGCATCACGGTGTCCACTTCTCTTGGGTCTACACCACCTCTTCGCAGACTTTCGGCCACATCTGGGCTAACACTAGTTGGCTGGCGTTGAGCGATATGATGCTGCTGCGCTTCTCGATAGCCGGCAAAATCGCGTTTGAGACCGAGATCAAAGACGAGATTGGATGAACCATGTCGAATAAGAAAAGAGAGGGAAGGGACTGTTGCACGCCTCTCCGGATCGGCATCTGTAACGAAGAGCTTCTCAGGAAGCGTGAGCTGACCGGCTTCCAGGGCTGATATAGTAACATATGTTTGAGTAGGGGCTGGTGCTGGAAGAACGACGATACCATTACTTAACGTCATGATGGAAGATACAAGAAGGGGTTGGCGGGTTCACAAATACTGAAGATGCTGAAATGACGCCAAAGACCACATCGTGGTTGGAGAAGCCGCGTGCCTGCATCTCATCCTGCAGCCCCACCCCGCCTCTTCACTACCCCGCATGCGGGGTTAGTTCTTCTGACAGGAAGATCTGCGAGACGTTTGAGCGACTATAGCGTGCAAGTATACCAAAAAACCATAAGCAAACGCAAGTTCGCTACGTTGTGTCAATTTGGCAAGCTTTCAACCCATGATGTCTTTCACTCAACCCAAATCGATGCAAGCGCAGTATCTGGAAGCGTATAAGGAACCATACAAGCTGAGATCGGTTCCAATCCCTCAGCCATCTGAGTCGCACGATATTCTCATTCGCGTGGATGCTGCTTCGTATTGCCATACCGACTATGTTCTTGCAGAAGGACAGATGCCTGGACTGCCGAAGTCGTTCCCACAAATTGGATGTCATGAGTTCGCCGGAACGGTAGTGTCGCACTTCGAAAGCCCTAGCAAAGAGGCCAGCGCATTTGAGACCGGTGCAAGAGTTGGCGTACCAGGTCGCTCATTCCATGCTTGTGGTGACTGCTTCGAATGCAGGAACGAACGCGTGGAAGATCCAATCGCGATGGATGAAGGGGGTTATTCGGTGAACTGTATCAGTGCGGATAACAATGGGCTGAGTAAAGACGGAGGGTTTGCGGAGTATGCTGTGGTAGATGCAAGGCAATTGGCACCCATACCAGACACTTTAACAGCAGTGGAGACTGCGCCGCTGATGTGCGCTGGTGTGACTATCTATGGAGCGCTCAAGAGAAGTGGGCTGAAGGCAGGTGACAGAGTCGGTATTCTAGGAGCTGGTGGTGGTCTTGGACATCTGGGATTACAATACGGTGTGAAGATGGGGTACAAAGTGCTGGGTATCGAGGCAGCAGACGAGCCTCTAAAGCTTGCGCAACATGTCGCTTCAAGTCTCGATCCAGGGCCGTATATCGTAGATGCCAGGAAAAGAAAAGCAGCCGACGTTGTTCAGGAGATCGGTGGACAGGACGGCAAGAAGACTCTTGGTGAGATGGGGCTAGACGCAGTGATCGTGCTGCCCGAGAGCCAAGCAGCCTTTGACTACGGCATGACGCTATTGAAGTCACATGGAACGTGTGTCGTCGTGTCATTCCCTGAGAAAGGGTTTCATGTCAACTCGCGAGACATCGTCTTTCGTGACATCAGGATCATCGGCAGCCTGGTAGGGAGCAACAAAGTGCTTCGTGAGATGCTGGAATTCTCTGCAGAGCATGGTGTTCGCGCATTGTCGACTTCGTTCCCCTTGGAAAAATTGAACGAGCTTGTGTCTGAATACCTCAAGGCCCAGGGTGGAAAGCTGGTAGTGGACATGTCTCTTAAAGCGTAGATCAAGTAACGGGGTATATTCGCGCCACCCATCTCTACCAGCATAAGAAGACTTCTTTGCACCTAATATAGTGACAATAGAGTACCGTGATGGGGAACAAGGGTCTAATCCAGGAAACGATCAACCTCCGACTTGCCAGCTTGAGTCGGCTGCTCACCCCGACTCGAGCATATCAGCATACAGATTGAGAGAGCTTCCAATCACGTCAACTATGGCCCACGTTTGTGAGCCTTTGAAGATCATCGCCCAGACCCTGAGCACTCCTGCGCTTAGGTGTCGCGTAAAGTTGGGCGATTCGGGCGTAACGTCGGCTGGAATGACAAACTCAGTCTCATCCAACATGCTCTTCACTATCGCAATAATTTTGTGCTCGTCTTCCGTGACCGGCGGGTCTGCTTCTCGTACTGATAGCGCTTCAAGCCATTTGCTCATGAGGTAGGCGCACTCAAGCGTACACAAAGAATGTTGAATGCTCCAGATGAAAGACTGCGTCTTAGCCACGAGACGGTATCCTATCTTGATAGGTATTGAAAGTGCGTGAGCCGAGTGCAGCACTGCTCTTGTAATCTTCGGTGAGCGCCTTATCGCAGGTCCGGCGCGGAAAGCATTGGCAATTAACAAAGGATCCCTTGTTTCTAAAGCCCTGCCTGCTGTGTCTACGTATAGACGGATGTAGGCTAGGCGGAGTAAGGCTGTTGAATTGAAAGCAACAGGACCGTTCTGGGACATAGGGTCCAGTGAAGACTCAGGGTTTTGACGCCACCCAATCTGCCAATTCCGTAAAGCGTTCTCGAGCGATGCAACATCCTCTGTGCTGAGATCGCCGGGCCCTTCAAAACGGCAGCGAGCCACTTGTCGCAGGAAGAAAATATGCTGTATTAGAGCATGAATCAGAGCATAGTTTCCAGACGAGGAGTTACACTCTGTGACATCCCGACCATCTTTTGTAAACAAACGTTTTAGTGCATCCTGAAATAGAACTTCTGGTGCGCTTTTTTTCCTCGCTTCCCTCCACAAAGCTTCTGCAGGTGCCTTGAACTCTGCTGCACTACACGGTAATGGTAATTTAACCTCGCTCGTTAGCATGAAGGGCGGAATGTTATAAACAATGCAATGTAGGTTAGAAAAGCCATAAACAATAAACTTAGTCCTCTTGGTCGTTTCGCGGCGGACCCAATCTGGCCAGGATATGTTCTCTTGAAGGCTTTCAGTCTCTAACCCGTCGTCTCGAATTAGTGTAGCTAGGATGCTCTGGATCGCGAGCGCTTCTCGGAGAATTTCTTTATGCTTGGCCCAAGTACATAGTGCCATCAGCAGAAGTAGGGCTTGCGCGGTTTGCATGAGATCCTCTCCAAGACTAGGGCCATTAATGTCAGATGGCAGACCCAGAGGTCCCGAAACGGAGCCCTTTCGACGGGGACTTTGCGCATCATTCTGTTGGTGCTGTGGCGACGAGCGGTCTGACTCAGAATAATGTTGAAGCTGCACCAAACGCGAATCGCGCTTCCTGATACGCTGCGTCGCAATCGCTTTGCTTACGTTAAACAGCTCAACACCCTTTTCGCCTTCGAAGGTATATTGCGCACCGATAGCTGCTATTGCTAGGAGCAGCTCAATGGAGCATGTCTCCACTGTCATTGTGGGTATGTGAAGAAAAGGCATGTGCTCGTGGAATCCGTTGATATATGCAGCGATATACCTGCACAACGCTAGGCGGGTGGGTAGGACGAAATCGCTGGGTATGACAGTAGAAAACTGGTGAAGCATTTCGATGATACTTTGCCGGTCCTGATGTGAGATATCTGCAAAGGACCGTCTGCGTGAGGGCTGATCTTCCGGTTGCAAAGAAGGGAATCGAGAACCGAACCGCGATAGCGAAGGTGGCTCCTCTAATTGAGTAGGTCTCCAGCCAGGTGTAGGCGCCGTTGTTCTATCTGGCTCGGTCAAAGCTTGCTGACCGTAGCCAAAAGAGTCTGGCGAGAAGAAAGGCATTGGCTGTTCGGTATTAATCCAGGACGCGAAATGATACGAGTTTAAGGGTTCACTGTCAAGAAATGAAGTGAGACTGTCAAGCGACTCGCCAAACGTCGACTCGTAGCTCTGGCCAGAAGGCTCTGTAAGCATTGCTGAAGGTGGAACTTCCACCGACGCAGCGATAGTTCCCGTATGCGAAGGCATTGGTGTCTGCATCGCATCATGAGATAAACGGTTTGCCATGTTACCCTGCAGAGCTTGATACTCGGCTGCCATCGACAGTGCTGTCAAAGAGTAGCCGCTGTTTTGCCCAAAAGTCAGAGAAGCATGTGACATTGTTGGCTGGTGTTGAGACGATGGCATATCCAAGACTGCGGGTGAGGACATCATGCTGGGTATCTCCGGCACTGGACGTCCGGCATCGAAGCTCGACCGCATTCGCTTGTGCGGCCGAGTTTCGACCGAGCTGTATGTACTCTCAGCTGGGGTATGCTGATGATTCTGCTGGATAGTCTGCTCTTTGCGATGGGTAAGTCGTTCATGGCGGACGAGCAGGTCACTTCAATGCAGTCTTTAGCCGACGCTACGCGTAGATATGAGCGTGCCGTACCTGCGTGTGAACGAATAGTTGCATTCTGAGCAGCTGAAGGGCTTCACACCGCTATCTTGATGCATGTCAGAGACAGCTTGCGATACGAGTCGCACGACTTACGAATTCGCTCATGGCGCTGCAGATGCTCGAGTCTAGCGAAGGCCCTTTGGCAGTGAGGGCATTGGAAACGCTTTTCCTTCTTCCCAGGCTGAGCTTGCGGAACTTGCTCTTTGCTGGTAGCGGCTTCCATCAAAGACTAATGCCGCCTCTACCACTTACACAAGACCCAATCGCAAAAGGCTTGGTAAGTGATACCCAGATTTTGGAGCAGTTTGAGTAGCCAGACGGAGGCTGGAGACTGCAAGTGGTGTTCGACAAGGTCGGAGAATGGTTGTGGGATTGTGGGGAAGAGACGGGAGCGCGGAGACGCGACAATTCATATGCGGGGTGCTGGAAAGAAGCGGGAGAGCGACCAATCATCACGTTTGTGGCATGTGCCCACAGCCCGAGGTTCACGTATCATGATGAAAAAGATTGGACGCAGCAAGGGTTATCGGACAGTGTCTTGTGAAGGGGAAGGTACTGTGAATGTTCGTATGCGTGCGGCTATAGCGATCATCGTATATCTCATCCTAACCCGGGCCGGATTATCCCGGGTGCCACGTTCCCAGCCACCTCCAGGACTGCCACGCGATCTGACGCGACGCGTTCCTACTACCATCATCACCAATTGATCACCACTATGCCCTTTCATTCCTGTTGCCCAATTCTCGCGGCATCTCGCCTTTCTCTGCCATTTCGTTTAGGACTTTTTCAGCTGTTTTCATGGCGTCGACGCCAGCTGGCACCCCACAGTATGTGGTTGCGTGAATGATAGCCTCGCGGATTTCGAGCTCGGACAGACCGTTATTCCTTGCGCCGCGCACATGTACAGCAAGTTCGGGAGCGCGGTTGAGCGCCATGAGCATGCCGATGTTGATAAGACTTCTTTGCTTCTTGTCGAGACCTGGCCGCGTCCAAGCGTAACCCCAGCACATCTCAGTAACGAGCTCCTGCCCAGCTCGCGAGAATTCTGTAGAACCATTCTCCAGTGCACGGTTGACATACTCGTCTCCCACCACACTCCGTCTCATCTTCAGCCCCTCATCAAAAAGCTGCTTGTGTAGGTCGTCAAGCTTTGGGTCGGTCGACATACTGGCGGTGGTACGTCTCGATATGCGAGGAGAATCGATCTGGCTCGGGCGAAGGTGGCTTGTTCGACTTGCTCAGAATGAATATTTGAAGAAGAGAGAAAGATGACTATTTGTTGCCTGTGGTTTCTCAGTATCAACCCTGCATACCTAACAAGATATCATGACTACCCCGCGTGGGCCACTTCGTGGCCGGCCTTCGGCCTTTACCCCAAGTATCCCCAACCTACTCCAACTTCAGCATGACGCTAACGGGACCGATCACAAACAGCGAATCGCGATCCAACTACGCTGAGATTGAAGAGGATGTATACGACCAATATCTGCTTATGCGCCATTCGTCTCGGTTTGCCAGTCTTCCTGCCCACCAAGGTAGCGATACACTACACGCGAATCTAAGTCCCTACAACGCGGATCATTGGCAGCACCATCGTATGTCTGTAAACCAACGTCCCCTAAAACGTTTCGTGACCCTACCCGCTTCGCCATATCCACTGCCAAACCAAAGTCTTTGCGCATTAGCTGCACTTTAAAACCTTGCTTCCAGCCTCCCGACGATGGAGCCTCAGGGTATACATGTGGGACAGGGCAGAACTTGTCGCAGATACTGTTCTGAGCAGTACCCGCAGCGTATACTTTGGCCAACGTCCGAGGGTCCAGTCCACTACGCATACCCATGTCGAACGCTTCTGAGCAAGCTATGGCGATTATGCCCGAGAGGTAGTTGTTCGACAACTTTGCCGCAAGCCCTAGTGACGGTCCCCCACAGGGTATTACTTGCCCGCCCATCAGACCCATCAGATATGTAAGACGCTCGATATTTGGGTCTGACTCTGCACAGCCTAGAAAGAATGCGATTGTGCCTTTGATGGCTCCTACTACGCCGCCACTGACTGGGGAATCATAGAACGAGGCCGAGGGAAACGTCTTCGCAATGTGATCCTTCACGGCAAGGCTTGTTGCTGTGTCTATGGTGGAGCAGTCGACGAGCAGCTTGCCCGAGATATCGGTACTACAGACACCATTCTCGGGGTGGAGATACACAGATCGTACATGTGAACCTTCGGGAACCATGCTCAAGATTGTGTCCTGCCTGCTTGTCAGCGATCAGCCTAGTGTGACGACATCTAGACCTACAACTTGCTCCGCAACGTCTTTGGCGCTTTTTGCTTTCAACACCCGACCCGGAAACTCTGCACATGCATCGTCTACCATCTGTTCGACTACATCGTAGACCCAAATGCGTGAATCCTGAGGCAGTTTCTTGGCGAGATGTGAGAGCATCGGTTTTCCCATGGCACCGAGGCCGATGAAGCCCAGTCTTTTGAAGTCGTACGAATGCACCATGGTGGAGTTGTGTGCTCAACTGGCGTTGAAGCGTTAACCCTGAAGTCCCAGGCTCTTCAGCCCGTTATGAAAGACTGGCGATGAATTTGGAAGGTTGTTTTTGGACGTCGAGAAACAATGCACGTCAACATTGCCGTTCCAGAACGCGTCGTGAACGAGCCGCGGCTGGCAAAGCGGGGTGGGGCGTCCCCAACGGACACTACTGACTAGCAACCCTTACCCCAATGTCTCTCAACATCTGGGATGTTCGTAGGCTAATCAAACAGAGGTCACACGTGCCATTTCTTTCCATCTGGGTGTCTAGAAGAGCACTTACAGATATCGCCCCAGTCAGCTGTAGTCTTGTCACACTATCTCTAACCGACAATCGCTGCGAACTACTTGACTGTCTCTGTTGAAGGAGATGGCTACCGAAAACATATCTATGGATTCTGATCTTACGAACACAGCTGTTGTTACTGTGCACGCATTATCGAGCGGCCACTTTTCGCTTCCAGAATACCAATTTGTACACCCTATTTCTCGAGATGCGCGCCGAACCGTTCCTTCACTGGCATTTCTAGTGCAGCATTACAACCACAGCACAAAGAAGCGGACACGCATTGTCTTTGATCTGGGGTTGAGAAGGGATGTCAAGAGATATGCGCCAGCAATACAAAAGCATGTTGAGACGAGACAGCCAATGAGTACCGACCCGGACGTTACCAAGAGTCTTGCGAGAGGTGGATTAGCACCCAAGGACATTGACTATGTGATCTACTCGCATGTAAGTCATATTACCTCGCGTTACAGATGGTAGGTAACATGGCTGCGGCAGGTACATTGGGATCATATTGGTGAACCTCGAGATTTCTCCACATCGACCTTTGTCGTCGGCCATGGCTCACTTGCTTTGCTACGTGGCACTTCACCGTCTCTGCGCGGTGGTCATTCCTTTTTCGAACATGATCTCTTGCCAGAGGAGCGGACGATTGAACTATCAGAACCTTCGGCACGCATGTTGAAAAAGCACGATTCATGCATGGCAGCAGGGGACATCAACTTCGGAGGCTCCTGGCAGCCACATGGAAACCTTCCTCAGGTTCTGGATCTCTTCGGAGATGGTTCACTTCTTGTCGTCAATGCACCCGGTCATCTGCCAGGCCATATCAATCTTCTCGCACGAACTTCCCCTGATCATCAAATCTACATGGGTGGTGATGCCTGCCACGATAGACGACTCCTGACTGGCGAAAAAACAATTGGAGAATGGAACGATGCTCATGGACATGTCTGTTGTATACACGCCGACAGAAAGCAAGCTGAGATTACGATTGAAAGGATCAGAACTCTGGAAAAAGAGGGCGTGGAAGTCATCTTTGCACACGACATCGAGTGGGAAAGCGACCCGAAGAATAAGACCCGATTTTTCGGCACGCAGGAAGGCATGGATGACTAGCTGCGGAACGCATATATGACTTCTGTTCAATAGCACATGAGCGCACACATCATCTCTCCCATCATTTACGATTTTGTAGGATCTGGCGTATTGGCGTCAGATGCGTTCCCTGTCACTACCTCAAAGAGAGAAATTGAACATCTCTTCAGAGCAAAGTAATTATACCTACTACAAAAAAGCCTGCTAAGACCTTCTTAGACATAGATAAGAAATTAAGAAGTCTACAATACTATTAATCTTTCTAGAACTTCTTCTTAGAAGCTAAGGTAGGCGGTAAACTAGGGCATGTTGTTCCTATACCCGTTTAAGTTTTCTATTGTATACGGTGCTGTCGTTCAGTTAGTAGGTGTGGTGTGTCGATCCCTGTGCTTCCCCACACTGAGGAGTCGGGGAAATGTGGGGCCCTTCTGCTCACCAGCGCCTCCAACAGTACACCATCCGAGGTAGAAGCTAATTAACACATGAGAGTGTTCAACTCGCGCCAATAGACGGAACATGTAAACTGGTGTCAGTGGTACTATATGCAATATCTACCCTAGCTTCAACGTTACCATTGCGAAGATTCTTACGACGAGTCCTCCTAAAGTACCCTTTCAATCATCCGTACCAAAACAATAAATTTGCTACTTGTAGACCACTATGGAAAAGCCCCTTCTTTCAGTTTCTCCAGAGAACCAGCACTTGAAAGACCGCTTCGATGCCGAGCTCGGCGCTGCAGCGTTCGATGAGTCTTGGGCTAGGCTACTCAAACACTCCCCAGAGATGTTTGCTGCATCGCTACGCCTGACAGCAGCACCAAGAAAGACAGGTCATCTCTCCCCTAAGATCCAGGCGCTGATCTCTCTGGCTGTAAGCTCAGCATCAACACACTTGCACGTTCCCAATATTCACCGATATACGAGCGCCGCCCTAGCAGCAGGCGCTTCGCGAGAGGAAATCGTCGAAACGTTTTGTCTCACATCCACACTTGGTATTCACGCCTCCACAGTCGGCGTACCGATCCTCTTTGAAGTACTTGAAGAGCGTGGCGAAGCCATGCCAAAAGGCATGTCAAATATGAGTCCCCAACAACTCGCCCTCAAGCAAGATTTCGAGACAAAGCGCGGCTACTGGAATGCGTTGTGGGAAGAAATTTTGCTTCTCGCACCCGAATTTTTCGATGCATATACAGAATTTAGTTCGGTTCCTTGGACAAACGAGGGTGGCAAAGGAGTACTCGAGCCCAAGGTCAAGGAGCTGGTATATTGTGCATTCGATACTGCAGCAACGCACATGTACCAGCCGGGACTGAAGCTGCACATGCAGAACGTGTTGAACTATGGTGGGACGAAAGAAGAGATTATGGAGGTGTTGGAGCTGGCGACGCTTTTGAGTATCAGTACACTGGATGTGGGATTGAAGGTGCTAGACCATGAGATGGGTACCCCCCGAGTCTGAAGTCACCCGCACAACGAAGCGTATACCTTGCAGCCTACATTATCTCCTAATAAGAAAACTTACAAAGATTAATAGCATTGTAGCCTTCTAGGTTTTCTATCTATATCCATATAGCTCTTGAAATGTTCTTTTGTAGTAGGAAGGGGTATGCTAGGCGCGGATGATGTCCATCTTCTCTCGATAAGAGGCTATGAGTCGTTTCCACTGGTGTTAACATGTAGCCTTGGTAAACTTGAAGAATACCGCACTGATCTGCTAAGATGAGACTCGCAGCAACTGCTTGCACTTGATGGTTTGCACCATGCCATAATTCGATTGTCATGCCGTGCTTTTACAATGACCTGTCATGGTTCGGTGCTCACTCTATCTTAACGGGCTTACAGATCTTTCTACAGGACTACTTGTCCTTCCCGCGCCTACACCAGAAGCAAGCAGTTCAAGCCTCGAAGCTTGAACCCGATGCTTCTTCATAACTTCTACCCATTCTTCTTCAACATCCTGCTCTTCGGTCTCATTTGTGTCTTCATTTAGCTCCGCTCGCAAGTCTTCTTCCAGCAAAGCAATCATCATGCTGAAGTCACCACCCAATCTACCTAGCGAACCAGCACAGTACAAGACCTGCGTGAGAAGCGAATCTCGTTGCGATCGGTCTTGTACGTTTGGGAGATATGTTCGCAGAGTGTCGAACAGCATTTCTACGAGATGTAGTGGAAACGTTGCAAGGGCTGATGGTATGGGTTGGAGGGGATTGGAAGTGGTGACTGGCTTTACAGCTGGGGCACTCTCATCGGATCCTGGCGCTGGTAAGGCAGAGGGGAAGATGCTCTTGTACATGGATATAATGGCGAAACTCTGCTCGCGGAATATTTCAAGATACTTCTTCAAGTACTTTTCGGTTTGTTGGCCTACCGCCCAGCCGGCGTCGCCTCTGGCTGGACTTGCCGTCCGCTTCTCTGTCTCTTGGTCGGCAAGTTCGCGTAGAGGATCCAGTGCGCTGAGCATCAGCTCAAGGCAGACTAGTCGACAAACGAGAAACAATGCGCCCAACGTGCCTTCTCCACTGCCTATGCCAGCTTGCTTGGTTGACCACGATTCGTCCAGTTCAGGCGCCACGCGTCTAAGCCATCCAATTGTTCGCATGGCACCTGCCAACTTGATGCCTTGACTCTGGAGTGAGCTTATAAGATTGGTGGTCATGGTCTTCATTTCCTGTTCAGCCTGAGCAGTGAGCGAGGAGACCAGTTCAGAGGTGGGGTATAGGGTGTGGAGGCGCTTGATGTGAGCATGAAGATCGAGAGCCGAGGCATAGTTCGCGTTGGCGGTGGCCGTAGATGAAGAGGCTTGCGCGGCGGCTGTAGAGGAGCTGATGGCGGAGGAGAGGAGGGTGGGTAGGTCGAGCACATCGGATACGCGGTCAATGTTCCGAGATAGCAGCATGGCCTTTCTCCGTCTGTCTAGGATCGCATTGTCTGCCCCTCTGCTGTATTTATCAGAGAAGCTCTGTGCAGCTGTTTCCAGCTTTGGTAGTTCTTCCTGGACCGTTCCTGCATCTTGTCCTATTTGAGGGAGTGTCTTGCGTAGATGTAGCAGGTGGTCGGTCGAGGATATTATCGGCTTGTGTGAGCGTTTCGAGAGGGCTTGTAATGAGCGTAGTATAGATTGCGAGCTTTGTGACAATGACTGTTGCTCCGAAGACGAGAGAGCGGCTAGGGGCAGGGTGGTGAGGCGGGCAAGGTACGTGTTGGTAATGGCGTCGTTCGGGGAGGGCTGTAGCTGCGCGTCTTGCGCGTCGAAATAGGGTATCAGCAGTTCGTAGAGGGGGTCGGCCATCGTGGGAGGTTTCACGGCTCCAATGACGCGTGCAGAAGTTCAATGGCTTGTCGAGAGTAGCCGTGGGGGTCTATCGGGCGGCGGGCGGAGGTGCCACGAGGCTGAACCCTGTCACTTTTAGCGCCCTTTGTACTTCACATGCGGCCTCTGCCGCTGCCGCAGGACTCATGGATCGCGACGACTCCCACGCAGACGACTCCAATCCTCCGGACCACGGCGCACACAGCCCCGAAACGCCCACCGTCGTTGAGCGATTTCTTGCTGAACTGTTCCAGAGCCGCCTTCTCATAGACAACTCGGCTGCCGACGAAGCTTCACCGATTTCGCCGCGACCGCTACAATCGAATATTAATAATCTCGTACCCTTCTTCAGCGCCTCGAGTACTTTCCCAGTGCCGCAGAACCCACAGAATACTACACAAACATCACACGATACAACGCCGCACGCCTCGACACGCCAAATGCAAAGCGCGCAGGATGTCGTCTTCTGCGTCGAGGATACCGTGGGGCTCAAGGACGACAAATACAGCGTGGGCATAATAGAGCGTTCTTTCGGCGACGTCGACTCACACGAGCCCCGGCCACAGCGCGACTATCCCGACGACATCGAGCGCCATGCCGACATTCCCCTCCAAGATTTCACAAAGTTCATGAAGGACGGCATCCCACCGCGGGGTACAGTGCTAGTATCATGGCAGACACAGTACAAGACGGAATTGATACCAGAGGCAAACCTGCAATTGCTGGATCGTGCGCTGTACGTGGGCGACGTGGTAAAGAGAAAGGCGGAAGATCATATGAGCGGTACTGTCATTGGCACACAGGCAGTCTGCACCCTGTTCCCGGCCTCGCTGTTCAACGGCGGCCAAATCACACAAGCAACCACCGACGACTTATCGATACGGAACGTACCAGCTGACGAGCTTATCAACGTGCATGAGTTTGTCGAGGGCGCTTTGGTCGTCTACGGTGACTGGGTGGGGCGGGTAGAGAACGTATACGACGAGGTTGCCATCAGGCTGGCCAACAACTCGGTCGTAGTGGTCGAGGATCCGACTGAGTTGGAAATGGACGACACTACACTTGACCGATTCAGCGTGGGCGACACGGTCAAGACCAAAAAAGGCAACTTGCGGCGGGGACGCTGGAGATTCGGCGCCTATGATCCCAGTGTACCACCTGTGGGTATGGTTGTCGAGACACGACCATCAGATATCGACGTACAATGGCTATCAAGAAGCATCGGCGCCCGCAACGTCGCTTTCAACGCCGATGAGCCACCGGCAACGCTTGGCCGAGACGAATTTGAGAGCCCCACCTTCTACAGATACGACGCCTCCGGAGGCACCGCCACCACACTCCCCGTTTCCGAAAACGGAGTCGACAAATCATACCATGTTACTGACGTGGCTGTGGGTGACCGGGTGCGGTTCAAGGACATTGCCGGCGCTGCTGTCAAGTACGATGGCACCAACACATTGCCCAACGGATATCCACAAGGGAAGGTGACACGCATTGCGCGAACCGAAAGTCTAGGCTATGACCTCAACGTCTTTTTGGTCATGCAGACTCATAGTCAAGTCACCGTACAATGGCAAGACTTGTCCATAACACACGATTTGAGCTCTTCATTACTACCGGATCCTAACGTAGAAGACGACGATGAGGTCTGGCCTGGTGAAGTTGTCTTCTCGAAAGAGGGACGCGATGGTGATAATACCGAGAAATCAGAG